TCCCATCGCCGTCACTGCGCCCGTGCTCTTCGCTCTCGCCCCCGCCAGCGACGACGTAGCAACAGATCATAGAGGCCAAGGACTGGCAGGACGACGACGACTGGAGGACCGAGGTGGACGAGACTGAGCTGGAGGACGCACTGGTGACTTATGAGCATGACCTTTTTACGATATGGATACATGAAACATGTAAATACGAGAACTGGTCCCTTAATACTGATTGAAACCGGTTAGAAGCGTGGTACGAATGTCGGCAATGGTTGACGCTGCTGTTATTGCTGTTGCAAAGCGTGTTGTAGACGCGCTCGGGCTTCCGCGTCCTCGCGGGCCAGCTCCGAGATGCCATCCCCCCCCTGCGGTTTTGAAGACTAGAGAGCCCAATGTAACAGTCCTGAAGAAGCTGCAGTTTTTCCTCTACACCCGAATCGTCCGCTCGATGCTTCAGCTTCTAAATCGATTGACTGAGTGAAAGCAGCAAATCTGCATCTTCGTGTGCATTTTGCTGTAGGATGGACACGTCCAGAGGATATTGGAGTGGCGCAAATCCAATTCAGAAATTAAGGCGAGTATCATCACCAGTCTGACTCTCACAACGGGTGAATAAGTGGGTAAATAGTCAATCCCGTATTTCTGCATAAACCCCTTGATTGCCAAACGAGACTTGAATCGGTCAACATCGCCTTTTTCATTCCACGTCACTACCAAAACCCACAATGATCTCAGTATGTTGATTGGATTGGCCGGTGTTGACCTCGGCCAACCATGCCTACCCGCCCGCAAAGCGGGTGGCACTCGTCTAGTAAATCCAGTTTAAGCGGCACGTCATATCTCGTGTTGCGGTCGTGGGTTAGACACTGCAATTAAGGAAATCAATAGTTCGCGTTGGACTGTGCGAGACTGGATGAAGAAGAAGGAAAAGATTGAGATTTGTTGTGGTCTCAAAAGGCCTCGTGAATTCGAAGCAGTTGAGTTTCTTTAAAAAAAAATGTTATTTCAATTCTGTTTTTTATTTTAGAGAATCTGAGTTTTACGTTTTAAAGAAGAGGCGATGTAGCTTGTCTTTCTTTGCCAAAGTGTTGTCTGGTTTTGCAATTTATGTTTCGTTTATGCGTTTCCAAGATAGTTTTGGCCAATAATATCGGATGGCGTATTTTTAAGTAGCCCCCAGTTTACTATGGGTGGTGGTGGTCAGTGGTGGCGTATTTTTCCGTGGTTGTCTGTAACCGAGCGCGGCCGCTATGCGGTGGTAACTTCTGTTTGGTTGCTGTTAAGGTTTTTGTTCCATTACGCAGAACTGACTGTAAATGTTTGGACAATTGTAATTAAATCTAGTCACTCAGAGGGCTCCAAGTTATTTATCACCAATCTTGTTTCTTCTATTCTTTGGATTTTGACCAATTATTTAGCCGAAAATGAAGACAATTTACGTGTGTGACGGACAGACAGGTTGCTGCAATAGTTGTTTAAGACTAGCCTCGTTCACAGCGGAGGTGGCATGGTTTGTTGGAGAGAAGGTGCCCTTAGCTCCAAGTGTGCCGTGGCGCCGCGAGCTTTCAGTGCTGATCATATACGTCGCGGTTTCGTGTACGGTCGAGGACCCCGAATGTTGTAGTTTTGTGTAATCGAACTACTTAACCATTCCACAGTATCCTGTCCGTCTGAGGGCCCAAGAATATCGTGGTTTTGTGTACTTGAACTACATTTTCGTAATCTCATGCGTTCCCGTACACTCCCGTGCGCTTCCGTGGTTCCGTGTGTCTATGCGGTTTTATGGCCTTGTGGTGTGATTCCGTCGTCCATGCTCTCGTGCTCTACCGTGGTATCGTACTCCGTTGTTGTGTACTCATTTGAGGTCTGTATATTGCAATCTCACCTCCTTCCATACTCTTCTGTCATCGGTGGTCTCACCACCCTCGTTTTTTCAGTACTTCCGTCTATCCCTGGTCATTGTTGGCCAATGCTCTTACTTGTTTCGGTGCTGTTTCCCGCTTCGTTTCATGCCCTTCCGTTGTCCGTGTTCTTACCACTCATTACTCGCTCGTGTTTCCCTGGTTTCATGCAATGCCTAGGTTACGTACGCCTCCCCAGTGCGATGATTTTCCGCCTTTCAGATCGCTTCCGTACTTCCGCTTCC